AACTTGACTTAGTTACAGTCATTAACATAACTCCTGAGGTATTGAAACTATGTCGTGTGTAATTATTTTCTCCAAATTCATTAACTTCAAAATTATTTGTCAGTGAATCTTTATCAGTAGAGTTGTGAAAGAGTGGAACAAACTCCCTAGAGGCGTTACTGAAGCTGAAACCTTGTATAGCTTTAATAATAGGTAAGACAAATACATAAGCGGGTGTGACTGACATTCCTAGCATGGGCCAGTAGGCCTGCTGCAGTGCACCTCCTTCCTCATGTTCTTAAGTCCAGTAGGTTATTTCCTGGATTATTTCAAGACATTCTCCCGACTCTGGATTACCTGTCAAATTGTTCCTAATGATCTGGCTTAAAGGAAAATCTCCCATTAAATCTTCATTCTCGTTTCGAGATGCCTGAACAAGTCCCCCCCTCCCCCCCCCAAAAAAATGGTTATCGTGGTCACTATCGAGGTTTTTTGGGCTGTAGATCACACCTAAGATTACTTTTTCATGTTCTTCGAGAAACTGCAACCAAAACAGATTCCGTGTCTGTCCCTTCCATCTTTACGCAGCTGTTGAAGAAAATTTTTAAGTTTCCCCTAAAATACAAAACAACTCATTTTCTATTTAAATAAATGGTTAAGAAATCCGACAAGTGGATAAATGAGAGACTTGTGCACCATTTTGTTATTATTCCGGATGTCTTCAGTCCATCAATCTTGATAAAAGACTGATGGACTGAAAATATGAACGTCAGACTAAGGGACTGATTACCTCAAACTACTACTCCTTTTCCACCGTTCTTCTCTGTACTGGACTGAAGAACCACTGGCTGGCTACGTAGTTGTATATATTATATTAGGATATATTAAGGGACTAGTAGTAACGTAACAGCGTTACTTAGCTGCGTTGACTGCGTTAATATTAAGAACTTGTTAGTTGATGGTATGGGACGCAGTCAGAAATTATTACGTTTAATTTCCATAAGCAAGGTTATTTTTACACCTATGACACCTGTTGATCTGTAGCACCACCGTGCTGGACACCACCGTGCTGGACACCACCGTGCTGGACACCACCGTGCTGGACACCACCGTGCTGGACACCACCGTGCTGGACACCACCGTGCTGGACACCACCGTGCTGGACACCACCACCATCACCTACCTTGATCACCTCGTTAGTGAACACGAGCACCACCGTGCTGGACACCACCACCATCATCACCTACCTTGATCACCTCGTTAGTGAACACGAGCACCACCGTGCTGGACACCACAATCATCACCTACCTTGATCACCTCGTTAGTGAACACGAGCACCACCGTGATGGACAGACACACCACCACCATCACCTACCTTGATCACCTCGTTAGTGAACACGAGCACCACCGTGCTGGACAGACACCACCATCATCACCTACCTTGATCACCTCGTTAGTGAACACGAGCACCACCGTGCTGGACACCACCACCATCACCTACCTTCATCACCTCGTTAGTGAACACGAGCACCACCGTGCTGGACACCACCACCATCACCTACCTTGATCACCTCGTTAGTGAACACGAGCACCACCGGCTGGACACCACCACCACCATCACCTACCTTGATCACCTCGTTAGTGAACACGAGCACCACCGTGCTGGACACCACCACCATCACCTACCTTGATCACCTCGTTAGTGAACACGAGCACCACCGTGCTGGACACCACCACCATCACCTACCTTGATCACCTCGTTAGTGAACACGAGCACCACCGTGCTGGACACCACCACCATCACCTACCTTGATCACCTCGTTAGTGAACACGAGCACCACCGGCTGGACACCACCACCACCATCACCTACCTTGATCACCTCGTTAGTGAACACGAGCACCACCGTGCTGGACACCACCACCATCACCTACCTTGATCACCTCGTTAGTGAACACGAGCACCACCGTGCTGGACACCACCACCATCACCTACCTTGATCACCTCGTTAGTGAACACGAGCACCACCGTGCTGGACACCACCATCACCTACCTTGATCACCTCGTTAGTGAACACGAGCACCACCGTGCTGGACCCCACCACCATCCCCTTTCCCTTGATCACCTCGTTAGTGAACACGAGCACCACCGTGCTGGAACCACCACCATCACCTACCTTGATCGCCTCGTTAGTGAACACGAGCACCACCGTGCTGGACACCACCACCATCATCACCTACCTTGATCACCTCGTTAGTAAAACACGAGCACCACGTGCTGGACACCACCACCATCATCATCACCTATCTTGATCACCTCGTTAGTGAACACGAGCACCACCGTGCTGGACACCACCACCATCATCACCTACCTTGATCACCTCGTTAGTGAACACGAGCACCACCGTGCTGGACACCCACCATCATCATCACCTACCTTGATCACCTCGTTAGTGAACACGAGCACCACCGTGCTGGAAAACCACCACCTTTCTTTCACCTACCTTGATCACCTCTTTAGTGAACACGAGCACACCGTGTGGACCCACCACCATCATCACCTACCTTAAACCCCCTCGTTAGTGAACACGAGCACCACGTGTGGACACCACCACCATCATCACCTACCTTGATCACCTCGTTAGTGAACACGAGCACCACCGTGCTGGACAGACACACCACCATCATCACCTACCTTGATCACCTCGTTAGTGAACACGAGCACCACCGGCTGGACACCACCACCATCACCTACCTTGATCACCTCGTTAGTGAACACGAGCACCACCGTGCTGGACACCACCACCATCACCAACCTTGATCACCTCGTTAGTGAACACGAGCACCACCGTGCTGGACAGACACACCACCATCATCACCTACCTTGGTCACCTCGTTAGTGAACACGAGCACCACCGTGCTGGACAGACACCACCATCATCACCTACCTTGATCACCTCGTTAGTGAACACGAGCACCATCGAGCTGGACAGAGACATCACCTACCTTGATCACCTCGTTAGTGAACACGAGCACCACCATGCTGGACAGACACCACCATCACCTACCTTGATCACCTCGTTAGTGAACACGAGCACACGTGCTGGACAGAACCCCTTCATCCCCTCCCTTGATCACCTCGTTAGTGAACACGAGCACCACCGTGCTGGACAGACACCACCATCATCACCTACCTTGATCACCTCGTTAGTGAACACGAGCACCACCTTGCTGGACAGACACCATCATCACCTACCTTGATCACCTCGTTAGTGAACACGAGCACCACCGTGCTGGACAGACACACCACCATCATCATCTACCTTGATCACCTCGTTAGTGAACACGAGCACCACCGTGCTGGACAGACACCACCATCATCACCTACCTTGATCACCTCCTTAGTGAACACGAGCACCACAGTGCTGGACAGACACACCACCATCACCTACCTTGATCACCTCGTTAGTGAACACGAGCACCACCGTGCTGGACAGACCACCACCTACCTTGATCACCTCGTGAACACGAGCACCACCGTGCTGGACAGACACCACCATCATCGCCTACTTTGATCACCTCCTTAGTGAACACGAGCACCACCGTGCTGGACAGACACCACCTACCTTGATCACCTCGTTAGTGAACACGAGCACCACCGTGCTGGACACACACACCACCATCATCACCTACCTTGATCACCTCGTTAGTGAACACGAGCACCACCGTGCTGGACACACACACCACCATCATCACCTACCTTGATCACCTCGTTAGTGAACACGAGCACCACCGTGCTGGACAGAGACACCACCATCATCACCTTCCTTGATCACCTCCTTAGTGAACACGAGCACCACCGGCTGGACAGACACCACCTACCTTGATCACCTCGTTAGTGAACACGAGCACCACCGTGCTGGACAGACACCAGCTACCTTGATCACCTCATTAGTGAACACGAGCACCACCGTGCTGGACAGAGACACCACCATCATCGCCTACCTTGATCACCTCGTTAGTGAACACGAGCACCACCGTGCTGGACAGGCACACCACCATCTTCATCCCCTCCTTGATCACCTCTTTAGTGAACACGAGGCACCACCGTGTGGACAGACACCACCTTTCATCACCTACCTTGATCACCTCGTTAGTGAACACGAGCACCACCGTGCTGGACAGACACCAGCTACCTTGATCACCTCATTAGTGAACACGAGCACCACCGTGCTGGACAGAGACACCACCATCATCGCCTACCTTGATCACCTCGTTAGTGAACACGAGCACCACCATGCTGGACAGACACCCCATCATCACCTACCTTGATCACCTCGTTAGTGAACACGAGCACCACCGTGCTGGACAGACACCACCATCATCACCTACCTTGATCACCTCGTTAGTGAACACGAGCACCACCGTGCTGGACAGACACACCACCATCATCACCTACCTTGATCACCTCGTTAGTGAACACGAGCACCACCGGCTGGACACCACCACCATCACTTACCTTGATCACCTCGTTAGTGAACACGAGCACCACCGTGCTGGACACCACCACCATCACCTACCTTGATCACCTCGTTAGTGAACACGAGCACCACCGTGCTGGACAGACACACCACCATCATCACCTACCTTGATCACCTCGTTAGTGAACACGAGCACCACCGTGCTGGACAGACACCACCATCATCACCTACCTTGATCACCTCGTTAGTGAACACGAGCACCATCGTGCTAGACAGAGACATCACCTACCTTGATCACCTCGTTAGTGAACACGAGCACCACCGTGCTGGACAGACACCACCATCACCTACCTTGATCACCTCGTTAGTGAACACGAGCACCACCGTGCTGGAAGACACCACCTTTCATCACCTACCTTGATCACCTCGTTAGTGAACACGAGCACCACCGTGCTGGACAGACACCACCATCATCACCTACCTTGATCACCTCGTTAGTGAACACGAGCACCACCGTGCTGGACACCACCACACATCACCTACCTTGATCACCTCGTTAGTGAACACGAGCACCACCGTGCTGGACAGAGACACCACCATCACCACGGGGTTCACTAGTGTCAACTGGTCCACTACATCCCTGTAGGTCTGAAACAAAACAGTCAAGTGTTTATCTTAGAGATTTGCGCACCCGTTATATGATCTTTAAATAAATTTAAAAAAATACTAATTATATATATTTTTTTTTATTATCACACTGGCCGATTCCCACCAAGGCAGGGTGGCCCGAAAAAAAAAAAAAAATTCACTATCATTCACTCCATCATTGTCTTGCCAGAAGGGTGCTTTACACTACAGTTTTTAAACTGCAACATTAACACCCCTCCTTATATATATATATATATATATATATATATATATATATATATATATATATATATATATATATATATATTATTATATATATATATATATATATTATATAATCAATAACACTGCACTAGCCAAGGACTCGAACCCATGCTGCTTTGGCCTGCCTCATGGTGTGCGAAAATACATGACGCCCTTATCCACTCGACCCTACGATCCTTAAGATTAGGGCATCCAGCGGAACTGGATGTTGTACTCGTTACCCAAGGACACACGATGGTGTGGATGACTCTAGGCTAATTTCATTCTAGTCCCTGTTTTGTATACCAGTTCAACGACCAGTATTTTATATTACTGTAACCACGAACGAGTGGGTAACGAGTACAACATCCAGTTCCGCTGGATGCCCTAATCTTAAGGATCGTAGGGTCGAGTGGATAAGGGCGTCATGTATTTTCGCCCACCATGAGGCAGGCCAAAGCAGCATGGGTTCGAGTCCTTGGCTAGTGCAGTGTTATTGATCAATACCACTCGTTCGTGGTCAAATATAAATATATATAAATTATATATATATATTATATAAAGTAATTGGGCAAGTACTTAATTAATTATAATTTTTACTAGTCGAGTCTATAGTCTTGTAGTACCAATATAATTATCTCTTATTAGTCTTGTAGTACCAATATAATTATCTCTTATCTTTCTCTACATCATCCACATTATTTTCATTAATTCTCTTTTTTTCTTTTTAATATATCATTTGGTTCATATTTTTTCATTCGTTGTGATGACATTATCATCACTTCTGAAACAGTTTTCAAAGATTCAGTTTTCCTTTTTAAATATTTGCTTTGCTTGAGTTTATTCCAGTTTATTCTGTTTATTCATACACTGTTTTGATCCACTCTCCTCCACACTATTATAAACTAAGGCCAACTGAGGTATTTTTAGTGATTTCTTAAAATATGATTTTTTTTCTTACTCCAGTAATTGTGGTAATTTATTTTTTGTTCCGTTTAATGTTCTGAAACATCACTTGTATATATTGTTCTGTGTGTGTGTATTCACCTAACTGTGGTTGCAGGGGTCGATTCATAGGTCCTGGTCCCGCCTCCACCACCTCCCTTTCCAGACTAGCCCACTTCCTGACAACTCTGACTGAAGAAATACTCCCTAACATCCCTGTGACTCATCTGAATCTTCAACTTCCAATTGTGACCCCTTGTTGCTGTGTCTCATCTCTGAAACATCCTGTCCCTGACCTGTGTGTCTTAAATACTCACGTAGATAATCTTGAAGGGCCCGTTATAGCGAGTTATGGAGATACCGAGGAGATACTTGATCTGTGAGGTCATGACGTGTACAGCAACTCCCGTGGTGAACCCAGAGATGAGCATGTCGTTGAGAAACATCCCGTACAGCTCTCCCATCTGAACCACAGCCAGAGACACCTGCACCACAAACACTTCCGTCTTATCAAACATGTATACATAACAGGTCACTGGAAAGGTCTGGTTTAGGTGCATTACGTAAACAGTTTTTCTTACACTTTCAGAGAAAAGAGTGAACAGTTATTCCCTTAGCTTTAATAAAATGGTCACTGATGGAAAGAAGCGTATTGTAATTAAGATGTTTAGTAAATAATTATGTTTATGTAGGTACAGGTACGTGTGAGTACAGTTATCATACATAGTAACATAAAATATTTCTGGCTACTTGCAACTATGAAAATAAATACTATATATTAAGCATTTTAAGAACACAATAATTCACTGGTAAACAGTTATTTCTGGTCAATGATATTACACCGATTTTAGGGAAAGTTTGTGGTACTAATTCCGACTATGTCATCGGTATTGCTTGACTAGCTTTTGATAAATTTGTTATCCCACTGAAAACCATAAAACATGTGAAAAATCGAGTGATTAGGCGGCACTAACTTACAAATCGCACTGATTTTTTTATTTTTTATTTGGATGTGATACATAATTATACAAAGAAATATAATAATTGGGTGTACATGCCCAAAGCCCCTTGTATGCAGGGCATTATGGGCAGGCTTAAAATTTATTTACATTACGCAAAAGCTAAATCTTTTAATACATACCAGCACTTCATTCTATATACTAACAGGTTTAATATAGTAAGGTAATTCAGATACCACTAATTACTACTTGTGACAATGTTGTTTGTACGATTTTCATCAATGTTGGTCATCATCAATGTTGGTCATCATCAATGTTGGTCATCATCAATGTTGGTCATCATCAATGTTGGTCATCATCAATGTTGGTCATCATCAATGTTGGTCATCATCAATGTTGGTCATCATCAATGTTGGCCATCATCAATGTTGGTCATCATCAATGTTGGTCATCATCAATGTTGGCCATCATCAATGTTGGCCATCATCAATGTTGGTCATCATCAATGTTGGTCATCATCAATGTTGGTCATCATCAATGTTGGTCATCATCAATGTTGGTCATCATCAATCTTGGTCATCATCAATCTTGGTCATCATCAATGTTGGTCATCATCAATGTTGGTCATCATCAATGTTGGCCATCATCAATGTTGGTCATCATCAATGTTGGTCATCATCAATGTTGGCCATCATCAATGTTGGCCATCATCAATGTTGGTCATCATCAATGTTGGTCATCATCAATGTTGGTCATCATCAATGTTGGTCATCATCAATGTTGGTCATCATCAATCTTGGTCATCATCAATCTTGGTCATCATCAATGTTGGTCATCATCAATGTTGGTCATCATCAATGTTGGTCATCATCAATGTTGGTCATCATCAATGTTGGCCATCATCAATGTTGGCCATCATCAATGTTGGTCATCATCAATGTTGGTCATCATCAATGTTGGTCATCATCAATGTTGGCCATCATCAATGTTGGCCATCATCAATGTTGGTCATCATCAATGTTGGTCATCATCAATGTTGGTCATCACAGTTTTGTTGAGTCAGTGGGTGATACTCCAATATAGGAGCTTCAATATGTATCGTAATAAGATAAAACCATTCACATTGTTACATGTACGAACTGTAATGTAGTTACTTAGAATTCACATTAACCTAGTCCATAAACTGTACCAATATAGAGTAATGAATTAATCTTAGTGTGCCCAAAATGCCTAGTCATGCTAGGTGTGATAGTGGCCCTCTCTGTACTTAGTATTTTATATGTAACCACACAATATCCTATAATTTGTAAACCCCGCATTGTAATCTTCATAGAGAATAAACTTGATTGATTGATTGCCCAATCTGTCATTTCAAGCCTCTAATGGAGTAGCTACTCTAACAATCACCACTCCCTTCACTCCTCATTTTACAAACCACCTTCACTCCTGACTCGTGACGTCATATCTAGTAAGGGAGCCTATTTATAACTTACCTGGGTTTATCTCAGTATACTACACAAGTACACAATAACACTACTGACAAGTATGATAACCTACCACACAGGAGTATACAATAACCCACTACACAGAAGAGTATAACCCACCACACAGGAGAGTATAACAGTCCACCACACAGGAGAGTATAACAACCCACCACACAGGAGAGTATAACAACCCACCACACAGGAGAGTATAACCCACCACACAGGAGTGTATAACAACCCACCACACAGGAGAGTATAACAACCCACCACACAGGAGAGTATAACAACCCACCACACAGGAGAGTATAACCCACCACACAGGAGTGTATAACAACCCACCACACAGGAGAGTATAACAACCCACCACACAGGAGAGTATAACAACCCACCACACAGGAGTGTATAACAGTCCACCACACAGGAGTGTATAACAGTCTACCACACAGGAGAGTATAACAGTCCACCACACAGGAGAGTATAACAGTCCACCACACAGGAGTGTATAACAGTCTACCACACAGGAGAGTATAACAGTCCACCACACAGGAGTGTATAACAGTCTACCACACAGGAGAGTATAACAACCCACCACACAGGAGTGTATAACAGTCCACCACACAGGAGTGTATAACAGTCTACCACACAGGAGAGTATAACAGTCCACCACACAGGAGAGTATAACAGTCCACCACACAGGAGTGTATAACAGTCTACCACACAGGAGAGTATAACAGTCCACCACACAGGAGAGTATAACAGTCCACCACACAGGAGAGTATAACAGTCCACCACACAGGAGAGTATAACAGTCCACCACACAGGAGTGTATAACAGTCTACCACACAGGAGAGTATAACAGTCCACCACACAGGAGAGTATAACAGTCCACCACACAGGAGAGTATAACAGTCCACCACACAGGAGTGTATAACAGTCTACCACACAGGAGAGTATAACAACCCACCACACAGGAGAGTATAACAGTCTACCACACAGGAGAGTATAACAGTCCACCACACAGGAGAGTATAACAGTCCACCACACAGGAGTGTATAACAACCCACCACACAGGAGAGTATAACAACCCACCACACAGGAGTGTATAACAGTCCACCACACAGGAGTGTATAACAGTCCACCACACAGGAGTGTATAACAGTCCACCACACAGGAGTGTATAACAACCCACCACACAGGAGAGTATAACAACCCACCACACAGGAGTGTATAACAGTCCACCACACAGGAGTGTATAACAACCCACCACACAGGAGAGTATAACAACCCACCACACAGGAGTGTATAACAACCCACCACACAGGAGAGTATAACAACCCACCACACAGGAGAGTATAACAACCCACCACACAGGAGAGTATAACAACCCACCACACAGGAGAGTATAACAACCCACCACACAGGAGAGTATAACAACCCACCACACAGGAGAGTATAACAAACCCACCACACAGGAGAGTATAACAACCCACCACACAGGAGAGTATAACAACCCACCACACAGGAGAGTATAACCCACCACACAGGAGTGTATAACAACCCACCACACAGGAGAGTATAACAGTCCACCACACAGGAGTGTATAACAGTCTACCACACAGGAGTGTATAACAGTCTACCACACAGGAGAGTATAACCCACCACACAGGAGTGTATAACAGTCCACCACACAGGAGAGTATAACAGTCTACCACACAGGAGTGTATAACAGTACCACACAGGAGTGTATAACAACCCACCACACAGGAGTGTATAACAGTCCACCACACAGGAGAGTATAACAACCCACCACACAGGAGTGTATAACAGTCTACCACACAGGAGAGTATAACAGTCCACCACACAGGAGAGTATAACAGTCCACCACACAGGAGTGTATAACAGTCTACCACACAGGAGAGTATAACAACCCACCACACAGGAGAGTATAACAGTCCACCACACAGGAGTGTATAACAGTCCACCACACAGGAGAGTATAACAACCCACCACACAGGAGAGTATAACAACCCACCACACAGGAGAGTATAACAACCCACCACACAGGAGAGTATAACAACCCACCACACAGGAGAGTATAACAACCCACCACAGGAGAGTATAACAGTCCACCACACAGGAGAGTATAACAACCCACCACACAGGAGAGTATAACAACTCACCACACAGGAGAGTATAACAACCCACCACACAGGAGAGTATAACAACCCACCACACAGGAGAGTATAACAGTCCACCACACAGGAGAGTATAACAGTCCACCACACAGGAGAGTATAACAGTCCACCACACAGGAGAGTATAACAGTCCACCACACAGACTACAAAACGCTCATGGTTGTCAATCTTGCACTGACAACGCACTCAAGTTAGGATCACAACGCACTCAACAACACAACGCACTCAACAAGTTAGGATCACAACGCACTCAACAAGTTAGGATCACAACGCACTCAAGTTAGGATCACAAGGAGTTACTCTTACAACTTACCTCCCATATACCCACAGCGAGGGCAAGTATAGCACCAATCTGCTGAGGTGTGTACTGGGTATCTTGGGTATCATGAGTGGTGGTGGTGCTGGTGGAGAACAGAAACGTAGTGTCGTTGTCTATGATCTCCAACGTAGTGTTGGAGAGCGTTGGAGATACACTGCCTCCGGGGTCCTCGCTAGACAGCTCCCCTACCACCTTCGCCATCATTAAACTAGCAATTGCAAATGTGCCTATAAATAAAGTTTAAAATGAGTAACATGTTCACTACAACCACGAAGTGTAAACAAATGAATTAAGTAATATGGATAGGAATTGGTAATAAATTATTGAAATGTTATATGTCAGGTCAGAGAAGACTGGAACCTGTGACCACTTCAACACATAATACAGTTTCAGAACTTAATTTATTCTGTATTTCAGGAAGTCTCATTTGAAAGTTATGGGAGCATAATTCTATTGCTACTCTGTAGTATAATTTAGATTACTATAATTTGATATTTTTTCACATCCATAATTGTAGTTATAAGTTCTCCACACCAGCAGGGGGTGACCTGGGGTGACCTGGGGTGACCTGGGGTGACCTGCTATGGAAACGGAGGGGGATGTGTTCAGGACTGTAAAAAGTCAGTTTAAATACAACATACTGGCTGGGTATCGTCTCCGCTCGTGAACAAGTTACGATCTTTTTGATTGGAAGGTACTGTTCGTACTTCTATTTTTTTTTTTTTTTTCAGATGTCCGGAGCACAGTCTATGAAGTCCTGTTGTACGACCGTGTGAGGAATGACAACAATTCCAAAACATGAATTGAGGATGGAGTGTTATTTAGTTAGTTGTGTCGCCTGAGTGATTAGTTTACTGTGCAACCCCCCCCCCCTCCTTTGCAGTTCATCCTGTGATATGAAGCACAAAAAACAGGATTACAGAGGTCACAATGGGTCTGTCACTACACAGAACACTAGAAGCACAGCCTTGCTGCACACACTACACAGAACACTAGAAGCACAGCCTTGCTGCACACACTACACAGAACACTAGAAGCACAGCCTTGCTGCACACACTACACAGAACACTAGAAGCACAGCCTTGCTGCACACACTACACAGAACACTAGAAGCACAGCCTTGCTGCACACACTACACAGAACACTAGGAGCACAGCCTTGCTGCACACACTACACAGAACACTAGGAGCACAGCCTTGCTGCACACACTACACAGAACACTAGAAGCACAGCCTTGCTGCACACACTACACAGAACACTAGGAGCACAGCCTTGCTGCACACACTACACAGAACACTAGGAGCACAGCCTTGCTGCACACACTACACAGAACACTAGGAGCACAGCCTTGCTGCACACACTACACAGAACACTAGGAGAACAGCCTTGCTGCACACACTACACAGAACACTAGGAGAACAGCCTTGCTGCACACACTACACAGAACACTAGGAGCACAGCCTTGCTGCACACACTACACAGAACACTAGGAGCACAGCCTTGCTGCACACACTACACAGAACACTAGAAGCACAGCCTTGCTGCACACACTACACAGAACACTAGAAGCACAGCCTTGCTGCACACACTACACAGAACACTAGAAGCACAGCCTTGCTGCACCACACTACACAGAACACTAGAAGCACAGCCTTGCTGCACACACTACACAGAACACTAGAAGCACAGCCTTGCTGCACACACTACACAGAACACTAGAAGCACAGCCTTGCTGCACACACTACACAGAACACTAGGAGCAAAGATTTGTCCCTGACACTACGAAGAACGTCAGAAACATAACTTCACTATCATAACTTCAAACATGCAATTCAGAAATGAACACAGAGGAGGTTAGGTAAGGTAAGATTGGTCAGGGAACAGGACCAGTGTTTCTTAGTTACATAATGACCTGCCACTATAGCTTTTGGTCATCTGACCGAGGTCTTCCACTGGCTTACCCATCCTCCACTTGAAAATTGAAGGTTCAAGATATAACACACAGAGGAGGTACTCACCCATTGAGACGTGGCGGGATGTTCCGAGGATGACATAGACAAGGACTGGGAAGAAAGCCATGTACAGACCTGTGATGGGCGGCAGCCCGGCCAGCAGTGCGTAAGCCATCCCTGTCAACCATATTAGTATCATTAATGGCAGGCTGTAATATCATTAACGGAGGGCTATAATATCATTAAGGGAAGGTTGTCATACCGACAGGTTGATGAGTAAGACACATGAGCAAAACAGCGTTATCTTCATCGAGCAGACGTTTCGCTTGTACAGGAGACTTTCTTTCCAGTCTAATATAATGTGAAAAATGATGCTTGTGTACAGTTGAGAAAATTTAATAAAGGTAATGGTTGTTAGGTAAGACACATATGCAACAGTTAGACAACTTTATTCCGAAACGTTTCGCCTACACAGTAGGCTTCTTCAGTCGAATACAGAAAGTAGGCAGGAACAGTAGAGATGTGAAGACGATGTAATCAGTCCATCACCCTTAAAGTCGTAGAATTTGAGGTTGTCAGTCCCTCGGCCTGGAGAAGTTCAGTTCCATAGTCAGGAACTATCTGAAGATTAAGCGACAGTGCGGAGACTTAATCTTCAGATTTGTTCCTGACTATGGAACTGAACTTCTCCAGGCCGAGGGACTGACAACCTCAAATTCTACGACTTTAAGGGTGATGGACTGATTACATCGTCTTCACATCTCTACTGTTCCTGCCTACTTTCTGTATTCGACTGAAGAAGCCTACTGTGTAGGCGAAACGTTTCGGAATAAAGTTGTCTAACTGTTGCATATGTGTCTTACCTAACAACCTGTCGGTATTGTATACCATTTTGATGTTAATAAAGGTAATGTTTGGCCACGAGTGGCTTCACCAGTCTTAATTAGGACTGGTGAAGCCACTCTGGGCGAAACGTTTCATTAACTGTATACAAGTATTGTTTTCCACAGGTTCCTTGTATAACCACGCCAAGAACTTGTAGAAAATACTACAAACAAGTCAGTTTAATATAGCATTAGTCTATATTAGATTAGAAAAGTCTGCCATGAAACTGAAACATTTCTGAGTGTAGATCGTCAGGTGTTGTAAGACATGTGAAACTGTTACGTTTCTTTATTCCGAAACGTTTCATCTATACAGTCGGCTTCATCAGTCAAATACAGAGAATGCAGCAGAAGCAGTAGAGATGTAAAAACGATGTAATCAGTCCATTACTCCTCGCAAACGTAGTTTCGAGGTTATCAGTCCTCAGCCTGGAGAAAGAAGAGTTCGGAGCAGCACTCTTGTCCAGGCTGAGGGACTGACCACCTCAAAACTAAGTCTTCGAGGGGTGATGGACTGATTATATCGTTTTTACATCTTTACTGCCTCTGCTGCATCCTCTGTATTTGACTGAAGAAGCCTACTGCGTAGGCGAAACGCTTCAGAATAAAGATAGCTAATTGTTGCAAATGTTGGTTCTCTGAACCAGTTATCTGCATCGATGCCTCCGAGATATTCATTCTATGTACCCTACAAGATTAAAATGCAGACACCTTTTTTTTTTCTTGATATCGTCCAACCTTTAACGATCTCATCAACTTGGTGAGAGACCACGAAATTAGCGCTAAGAAGGAAGTTGACACTGGCTTCTTTCTTTGATCATGTAAAATTTAGATTCCCAAATTGATCTGATGATGGTGGTCAGAGCATCACGGGGAAAAAAAATCGCTCAACAGTATTTCTCAAACAGTTTCAGAGACAATTGTTGGAGATCCTTCAGATAACTCAATGCTCCCAAAGAGAGAGAGAGAGAGAGAGAGAGAGAGAGAGAGAGCAACAGATTCACCTTTTCTAATTTCAGTGTTCTTGGCACACCATCCAGATTCTTCAATAAAACCAGCAACAACAGAGAGCCTCCAACAGCTCTGCTACTAAGAAAAAACTTCATCGAAATCCATCACAACTATTCCAGTCAGGAAATGGGAAGACGCGGGTATACACCATTCAAGTATACATGTAGACCAATTGGGAGGGAATTCAGGCGTTCATGCAATGGTTATTTTCCCATAGACCAAAATGAGAATCGATCATTGACCAAATAAACAAATGATTTAAAGGTATTAGGTCGACTTCCAGCCGTCGCTTGATCATTGATCGATTAGAAACTCGGGTCTCCAACAACACGGATTGTCTGTGATATATAGATGACCTTCAGAATTCATTTTCTTTCCATTAGTTTTACCATCGTGAGATTCTTTCACTCACAACCCTCACACTACCTTCACTATTTCCTCTCATGAAGTGTTCCCTCATACAGAGCTTTACGTAAAGCTTACTAGAAGGTCTGGTCTCCTATCATGTGTCATAATTCAGAATCTGAGCCTCTCCAGCAGCGTGTACAAGTTCTAACTGGTAATGTGTACAGGGTCTAACAGTAATGTGTAAAGCTTTTAACTAGTAATGAGAACAAGTTCTAACTAGTAATGTGTACAAGTTCTGACTAGTAATGAGAACAAGTTCTAACTAGTAATGAGAACACGTTCTAACTAGTAATGAGAACACGTTCTAACTAGTAATGAGAACAAGTTCTAACTAGTAATGAGAACAAGTTCTAACTAGTAATGAGAACAAGTTCTGACTAGTAATGAGAACAAGTTCTAACTAGTAATGAGAACAAGTTCTAACTAGTAATGAGAACAAGTTCTAACTAGTAATGAGAACAAGTTCTAACTAGTAATGAGAACAAGTTCTAACTAGTAATGAGAACAAGTTCTAACTAGTAATGAGAACAAGTTCTAACTAGTAATGAGAACAAGTTCTAACATTGAGAACTTGTTGCTCACCTCAGTTATAACAACTCTAGTTACTCATTATTCGGTGAAGAATATAAACTCGCTAACCACCAAAATTTATTAAGAAACAAAATTGTTTGTGAGATGAGAACTGCAGCGTCCTCCACTCTGAGTGATCTTAGTGAGAACTTCTACTAGGAACGTGGATGAACAAGTTCATGAAGAACTGATCCAGAAGCTACATCAACTACCCACTACTACCATCACCACTACTACCACCCCACCACTACTACCACCACTACTCAGATAAAGGGACAGAAGGCTCACCTTGCGGGATCTGCACAATACCGACGGTTGCTCCACCACCACTACTACCACCACTACTACCACCCCACCACTACTACCACCACTACTCAGATAAAGGGACAGAAGGTTCACCTTTCGGGATCTGCACAATACCGACGGTTGCTCCACCACCACTACTACTACCACCACTACTACCACCCCACCACCACTACTCAGATAAAGGGACAGAAGGTTCACCTTTCGGGATCTGCACAATACCGACGGTTGCTCCACCACCACTACTACTACCACTACTACCACCCCACCACTACCACCACTACTCAGATAAAGGGACAGAAGGTTCACCTTTCGGGATCTGCACAATACCGACGGTTGCTCCACCACCACTACCACCCCACCACTACTACCACCCCACCACTACTACCACCACTACTTAGATAAAGGGACAGAAGGCTCACCTTGCGGGATCTGCACAATACCGACGGTTGCTCCACCACCACTACCACCCCACCACTACTACCACCCCACCACTACTACCACCACTACTCAGATAAAGGGACAGAAGGCTCACCTTGCGGGATCTGCACAATACCGACGGTTGCTCCAACCACCACTACCACCCCACCACTACTACCACCCCACCACTACTACCACCACTACTCAGATAAAGGGACAGAAGGCTCACCTTGCGGGATCTGCACAATACCGACGGTTGCTCCAACCACCACTACTACCACCCCACCACTACTACCACCCCACCACTACTACCACCACCACTACTACCACCACTATCAGATAAGGGACAGAAGGCTCACCTTGCGGGATCTGCACAATACCGACGGTTGCTCCAACCACCACTACTACCACCCCACCACTACTACCACCACTACTCAGATAAAGGGACAGAAGGCTCACCTTGCGGGATCTGCACAATACCGACGGTTGCTCCGCTGACGAAGTCGCTGAAGAGCTCCTTACGAGGGTCGTACCTCGGGAGCCACGCCAGCACGGGTAAACGCGCCACAACCAAGCCCCACACACGCCTTCGTGAACACCGGAACCACGCCCGCACCATCCTGCGCCACTCAGCGCGCCATCCTGCAAGCACCAACAACTTCATGGATCATCTAGACCAGGAGACAGACACTATAGAGATAAAACAATTGGGAAATACTATGAAAGTACATATTCATAAAAGTTATGTATAAATTGTAATTACTGGAGGGCCTAGGAGATGGAAATAGGCCTCCCGAGGCCAGATTGAGATTCAAAATTCGTTTTTTTTTATTTTTTATATTTATAATAAACACTGCTATTGATGTGGCACACACACACACACACACACACACACACGTTAGGAAGTATTTCTTCAGCCACAGAGTAGTCAGTAAGTGGAATAGTTTGGGAAGCGATGTAGTGGAGGCAGGATCTATACATAGCTTTAAGCAGAGGTATGATAAAGCTCACGGCTCAGGGAGAGTGACCTAGTAGCGATCAGTGAAGAGGCGGGGCCAGGAGCTCGGACTCGACCCCCGCAACCTCAACTAGGTGAGTACAACTAGGTGAGTACACACGCGCGCGCGCGCGCGCGTCAGGCCCATACTGGAGTATCCAGCACCTATTTGGAACCCACACTTGATCAAGCACGTTAAGAAATTAGAGGAAGTGCAAAGGTTTGCGACAAGGTTAGTTCCAGAGCTAAGGGGAATGTCCTATGAAGAAAGGTTAATAAGGGAAATCGGCCTGACGACACTGGAGGACAGGAAGGTTAGGGAAGACATGATAACGACATACAAAATACTGCGTGGAATAGACAAGGTGGACAGAGACAGGATGTTCCAGAGAGGGGACAGAAACAAGGGGTCACAATTGTAAGTTGAAGACCCAGACGAGTCAAAGGGATGTTAAGAAGTGTTTCTTCAGTCACAGTTGTCAGGAAGTGGAAAAGTCTAGAAAGTGATGTAGTGGAGGCAAGAACCATATATAGCTTTAAGAAGTATGATAAAGCTCATGGAGCAAGTAATCTAGTAGGGACCAATGAAGAGGCAAAGCCAGGAGCTGTGGCTGGATCGATCCCTGCAACCACAATTAGGCGAGTACAATTAGGCGAGTATACATACACACACAAACACACACACATAACTTACAGAAATAAGACAGGATAGAGAGAGAGAGAGAGAGAAAGAGAGGGGGAGGGGGTTGATTGCATTTTCATGGACTGTAAGAAGGCTTTCGACACAGTTCCACACAAGAGATTAGCACAAAAGCTAGAGGAGAAGAGAGAATAACAGGAAATCCACTGCAATAGATCAAAGAATATCTGATGGGAAGGAAACAACGAGCGATATTAAGTCAAGTGTCAGAGTGGGCACATGTGAAGAGTGGGGTTCCACAAGGGTCACTCATACGGCAGTCCAGCCTCAGAAAGGCTAGATCACACTCAGTAGACCAATTAAATTTAACTTTAGAACTAGTGAGTTCACAGAGGGGAGCTGCCACTTGTGCAAAGTGCGGGCAGAACCTCCTGTAATAGCTGGCCATGTCTAAAAACCTCTAAACACCTTTCCTATTCTGAGGTATTGAAAATTCTGTAATGGCCATAGCTTTTGCATTCAAAGGTGCGACTGTACCTTGCCCTATCTTAAAACCTAAGTACTTTATCATAGCCTGTCCGAACTTGCATTTTGCTAGATTAACCGTGAAATTATACTGCTCCAGTTCTTGAAACAGGGCCTCTAGATGGGACAAATGCAACTCCTAGTCATCACAAGGCCTCTACTCCCCTCAAGGCCGTGGGTTCATCAGTCGTTGAAAGGTGGAAGCCGTGTTGCAGAGGCCAAAAGGGGTCACTAGATAGTTATGCAAACCCATATGTACAGTAAAGGCTGAAATCTCTTGGGCACATGAAGTCAGAGGAACCTGGTAGTAACCTCTCACCAGGTCCAAACGGCTTACAAACTTTGCTCTGGATGACTCAAGAAATCGTAATGACACGATTGCAATCGTGTCATTACGATTTCTTGAGTCATGTTGACGGCAGTGAAGGGACTTGAGCTAGAGTTCGTCACGGTCACGCTAGCTGGAGATTCGTCTGTAAAAACCTGCATTTGTGGTCACAGTGGTGCCTGTGCTAACCTTCCTATGGTGTAGAAATATACCTAGTTGGATGAATCTTATTGTGGCTAGCTGGTCTAGTGGCTAACGAGACGGGCTGGAGTTTTCAGACTCTATGACCGCGGGTTCAATCCCGGCCGGGGGTATGGTTTGCTCTGGATACTCGGTCGATTAAGTCATCTACCCGTGGCAATTGGTAACCATCCAGCACTGTCACAGCATTCACCTTCCTATAGTCAGTGCATATCCGAAACGTCCCGTCTGATTTCGGGACCAAAATACAGGGTGAGGCCAACAGACCCTGACTAAGTGCAATAAGTCCAGTGGATAGCAGAAAACCTATTTCTTCCTGCAAAAATCTTTTGCTTGACTGGACTTAGGCAGTATGGAGCTTGCTTAATCGGGGCGGTGCCTTGGACATCTACATCACGGGTTCCCAATGTACAACCTCTCTATCAGTTTCTTAACCCCTTTCACTCTGTCGGTGCTAAGGTCACTCAGGAAAGCATCCAAGGCTTGGAGTACATCTGAATTTTGGAGGCAAATTTCTATCCCTCTCGAGCAATCTTCTTCCGCAGGAACAGGGAGGACAGTAGTGGTGGGAACAGGTTCCCCGTAGTATCTGTTCAGCTAGTTAATGTGGTAGGTGTGGGTTGATTTCCTCTTTCCCGGTGTTTGTACTCTGTAGTCCACTTAACTCAACCTTTTAACCACCTCCATCGGTCCTTCATATCTCAGCTGCAAGGTGTATCCGGATACTAGCTTCTGTGCTAGGACTTGGTCTCCTGCTTGGAATGAGCGTGGAGCTGCACGCTTATCATAATGTTCCTTCATTGTAGCCTGGGCTTTGGCTAAGTTCCTTGAAGCTAAATTTCTTGTAAAGGCTAGATGTTCTTGCATCAAATCAGGGGAGACTCGTAAAGTTGGTTTAGAGCTCCTGGTCCACATGTCCTTTAACATGGCCAGGGGACTGCATACGGCATGGCCATATATCAGCTCGAATGGGCTGTAACCCAAATTCTCTTGTTCACTTTCTCTTATTGCTAAGAGAAGACAGAAGACCTTCCTCCCCATCCTTACTGAACTGCTCGCAATAAGAGCACAGCATCGTCTTCAGGGTATGATGGAACCTTTCTATGGCTCCCTGGGAGTGGGATTGATAACTGGTAGCCAGTAGAGACTTTACTCCCAGACGCGACAAGCCTTCTTTGAAGATCTTTGAGGTGAAATTGGAACCCTGGTCTGACTGAATTTTGTAGGGCAACCCCATATGACAGAAAAATCTGACCAAAGCTCGTACTATGGTCTTGGCATTTATCCTTCTCATGGGTATGGCCTCTGGGTACCTCGTTGCAGAGTCAATGATTGTAAACAGGAATTGGTTCCCAAGCTTGGCTTTCGGAAGAGGGCCCACACAATCAATAATCAGGTGGGCAAACGGTTCTCCATTTGATGTGATGGGGATAAGTGGAACTGGAGGAGGAGTATGCATGGGCTTGCCTACCACCTGGCATACCCAACAATGATGTAAGTGATCCACCACGGTCTCTCTCATTTTTGGCCAGTAGAAGTATTTTGACAATTTTCGTATTGTCTTCCTTGTGCCCAGTTCCCCCCCCCCCAGTGGACTTGTGGGCAACACCCAGGGCAAGTTCTCGGAAAACAGTTGGCAGAACCAATACATGTCTTACCCTTGGCGAAGCATCATCTGGAGAACCTCTAATCGTGTATTTCTTCATCAATATCTCCCCTTGCTAGTAAAAACAGTCCTCCTGTCTTTCAGCTTTGTTCTTTGACACTACTAAATTCTTTATCTCTCCTAGAGATGGGTCTTCCCATTGTCCCTGTATCAAATCTTCTGGCCAAAGGGTTCTGGCGCCCACTGACTCTAGATCTGAAGACAACTTGGTGGGCTCTGTACCTTAGGACTTAGGTAGATGGGTTTCACTGAATAACAAATTTAAACCCATTTCCGCGTGATCTTCTCTCCTCACTGGAGAAGAATGTCGGGACAAGGCCATTGCTCTCGTGACGATTCTGAGAGGGAATAAAGATGGTTCCTTTCCGCAAACTTCGAGCGCATAATTATCACTCGAGGCATTATCTATGACCACCGGCTCTTTACTAATTCCTTCCTGGCTTAAATCGTTCCCTATCAGCAAATCTACTAATTTGATTGGGAAACCTTCCGAATACCCACAGCAGCGTACCCTTCATAGTCATCAACCTTCAGGTATATCTTGTGAAGAGAGACCCTAGAAACATTCCCACCATAAGCTTCTAGGAGTACGTCCATCTTGGTATAAGTTAGGTCGGTTAAAGGCAGGACGCCTTTCTTCAAGAGCGTAAGGTAGCTTCCAGTGTCTCGGTAAGCCTTGATCTCCACAACTCGAGACTCGTCCGTTCCAACATTCCCGTTAGAAAAATAAGATTTCATTTTATTTTCATCAGCGCTAGTCATCTCAATGAAGAATCTCCTTAGCCCACGGTACTCTGCTTCTCCCTTGGATCTTCTCGGCCTTGGGACGTAGATGTGACCAACTGCAACAGGGCTCCTTCCAGAGCCTGTTTTCTGGTATCGTTTTCCAACTTATAACAACTGCTCCTGCTATAACCTCTTCTCTGGCAATAGGAACATGTTAGAGCTTTTCTTGCTGGGACGGCCTCTCTGTTACTTCTAGTCATTGATCTAACACTGTGGCAGGGCAGTGGAAAGGCACGAGAAGCAGCCTCTGGAATAAATGTCTGGTGAGGTCCTTCTCTTGATGAAGGTGTTCGATCCTTTTAACTAAACATCGGCTAGTACACTAGACAGGGAGTAGAATGAAATTAGCTAAGAGACACCCACACCACCGTATGTCTTCAAGCCAAGGTAACACACCAAGCTTGGCTGGGTGCTTGGTTCTTGTAGGATTGTGTGGTCATGTAGGTTAGAGTATCATTTGTTTTTGCTCACCACGCGGCAGGCCAAAACAGCATGGGTT